TATACTATTTTACTGTTTCTATGGTACTGCTAAGTTTCTTCAACAGACTCTGCACCTGCAGAATCCAGCATGAATAATAAGATCTTGTCATTCTGACACGCAATGCTCATGCAAGTTTATTATTTTTATAAAAAAGTTTTTTAAGCTATTGTTAAAATTATATACTTCTACTAATAAAGTTAAATTGAATTTCAGTTAAGCAGTTGATATTCACTGAGTCGCCAGATTATTATGACCACCTGACGTTTGTAGGCAAATTAGCTATAATTAGCTATAGTTTCGCGCTGAAGTTGCTAGAGGGCCAGACCATTGTAAATAGGGAAGCAGATTGTTTACCACGACAGTAGAAGTGATTTTTTTTTCTGAAGATATGGGTAAACAACGCGATTTAACAGCCTTTGAACATGGGATGTTGGCGCTCGGAGCCATGGAGCGAGTATCAGCAAAACAGCAGAATTCGTTAAATGTTCAAGAGCAGCTGTTGTTAAAGTGTTTAAAGACTGGACTGTCAGCTGAAAATCTGGGTCTGAACGTGCGAATTGTGGCCGTCAACAACTAGTCAATGTCGGAGGCCTTTAGAAACGGCTGTCCCCCCTCTATACCTATGTTTGCTATTAAATGGGCGCCTTTACTACAACTCTCACCGACAGACACACACCAGCTCTTACTTAACGGTTGGAACCATTTATTCACTTCCATCTCTAACGAGCAGTGGTGAGAAATACTGTTCAAAATTATTCACAGAGCCTATTATGCTTTGAACTTCCATCCTTCCTCAATCACGGACACTTGGGTCACTGAATGCCTGAAATGTCACCTCATACACCCTAATCTAGCACACCTCCTTTGGCAGTGCCCACATATTTAAAATCTTTGGCACCTCTCACTCCAATACATGTGGTCCTTATCTGGGGCATCTAGAGACTGCTCTCCGGCTCTGTGTCTCTTCCATTCCCCTTCTGACTTGTCACAGACTTCCCTAGCACCTCTAACACAATGGGAACATTATTGCCTTCTAGCCATCAAGAAGAATATACTTGCACATTGGCTCTCTCCCCAAACTCCTACGTTGACGGAGATAAAAAATGCCCTCCGTCAACTTTTGATGCTTCATAAATTAGATACTAAACACAATTTAGAAGGCACTGGTAAATTCTTCCATACTTGGATGCCATTCCTGACATCTGAATGCACT